TGAGCCAGTGTCCGTCTCAGCCCTCTGCTGGCACTGTGGGATGTGCACAGGCTGCTAAACACAAAGTCAGGAGTTCAAACCCAAACCCGCCAGTCACTCCACAGGAGAAAGAGGTTGTTCCCACATAGATTTATAGTCTTGGAAATGCAAAGGAGCAGTTCTGCTCTGGCGATGCGTTGCGATCAACTCATTGACAGTGGCTTGGGTTTTGTGTAGAACCTATCCGCTACATTTTCCTCCTTATAAAATGGAGATAACGACAGGACATCCCTCACAAAGGGGTTACAAGAGTTATTAATATACATAAAGTTTTTGTTTGTTTTTTACTTTAAATAAGTTTATTTTCCCCCCAATTCTGGAGTCTGAAAGTCTCCTGAGGTAATACCTTCCTTTTCCCAGCTTGGAGTGCTCGCTGACCCTCACGGCTCCTCAGTCTTCCCGTGTGCCGTGCTCCCTGTCTAACCTGCTTCCTTCATGACTTAGGAGCCATTAGATCGAGGACTGAAACGAAAACCAAGTCCTCTGCCACAGTCATTTCTCACTCACAGTGACCTTATAGGGCAGAGTAGAGCTGCCCCTTTGAGTTTCTGAGACTTAAAATATTTAAGGAGCAGACAGCCTCATCTTTCCCCAATGGAGGGGTTGGTGGTTTCAGACCACTGAACTTGAGGTTAGCATTTCAATGCATAACCCATTATGCTATCAGGGCACCTAGTCAGCTGTGATCAAATTTGGTAACCAAGAAAGCCCCATTTCCAAGCAGGATTACATCTCCGGGTTTCCCAAATAAATAAATAAATAAAGCAAAAACAACAAGAACAAAAGTCAAAGTCAATGCCATTGGTTCCGACTCAGAGTGACTCCCTAGGAGAACAGAACCACCCAGAGGCAGCAGTGCCACCTTCTGTCCTAGCTAGGGCCCCCCACAAGTCAGAACTGGCTCACTGGCACCTAACAAAAACTGTATCGATGGGAGCTGACTGCCACATCTTTCTCTGGAAGAAACTAACTGCTGCTGAGCTTCAACCACTCCTCTTTTGACTTCTCAGTTACCTTGGTGCTTAACCACTGCTCCACCAGGGCCCCTTCCACGAGTTTTGGGGTTAGGAAAGAAAGAATAGCACAGGATTTCAAGATGTCCTTTTCAGAGCAGGGGCATGATGTTGTATCTAAGTACTCACTCACTGCCCTGGAGTGGGTTCGGACGCACAGTGGCAGGGTAGAACTGCCCCCGTGGGTTTCTGAGACGCTGACTCTATCCAGGAATGGAAAAGGCCTGGTCTTTCTCCCAGGGAGTATGCCGACTAATGGTTATTCCTAGAGGAAGACTCACAGGAGGAGATGAGAATGGAATGGCCGTGGGCTTTATTCAGTGTGGGGCTCCAGTTCCTTGATCAGAGGATGAAGGGCTGGGTGTGACCTGGAGTAATTGCTTCAACAAAGAAGGTGGCATGGTGGCCTGGGGACGGGAAGGGGTGCGAATCTCACTTGCCCATCACTTCGCAAAGCACGATTACATGAAAAACTCGTGCAGTTCTCACAAAAGCAATCTGTTAGGTAGCAGGATAGGGACAGGGGGTGTCCCTCTCCTCGTGTCAAATGGACATTATAATCCCCCTTTCATTCATGAGGAAACAGGTCCAGGGAGGTTGAGTGACTTGCCCGACATCACTGAAGAAAAGCGGTGGCTTCAAGAGTCCGATCCAGGCGCCCAGATTCACATGTCAGCGCAGTCTCCAGTACCCACGCCAACTTTCAGGGCGCACCGAGAGTCCTTGGCGCAGGGCAGCGGTCCACCTGCGACCCTGGGCTGGCTACGAAACCACCGGAGCCGCCACGCTGGGGGGTCAGCCGGCAGGCCGACCGGAGTTGGCACGTGGCAGCACCCGGACGAGCAAGTGAATTTTGCGAATACTTACTTCTGAGAGAGAATCCAGGCGCGTCATTTTCTGAGCAACTCCTCCCCTTCCCCCGCCCCCCGGGGGCGGGGCAACAAAGCGCGGGAAAACTCGGTCGCAGCACCCCTTTCGGCCCAAACTAACCCCAACGGGAAATCGATGTAGGGGCCTCCCTCCCGCATTTAGGAAGCCTGCAGGATGTCACTTTGGGAAGGGCCCAGGCCACGCCAGCACCCGACGTCACCTCTTCCCCGCTTCCGGTCTGCACCACCCGCCAGGTTTCAGGTCCGCTTTCCTTCCACTCGTCTGGCCCCGCCCAGTCGGAGCCCTCCCGCAGGGGGAGGGGCTCTGGTGACGCCATCGCCCAGGAGCCAGCCCGCACGAGGCTCGAGGCGTGAAGACCCCCAACCACCTGGACTGTAGGACAGACCGCGAGGAGATGGTCAACCAAACAACGGGATGTCGGGGGTGACGCCCCATGCGGTGAGCCCGGTGGAGAAAATTATGCAGACGGATCGACACATCCGGGCTCCACCGAGTCAACGAGGCTCTCCCCAAAGTGCCCACCAAATCGAAACTGGGAGTTCTTTGCATTTGCATAAATGAACTGCGGGCTTCCAGCGCCAGGGCCAATGGGAGTGAGGGGGCGGAGATGCACCTGGACTAGTCACCGCCTCCTTGTGGGACAGCGGGCAATCAGGCTGGCCTTTTCTAAGAGACAGCAGCAACCGCCAATGGTTTTTGAGGTGCACAGATGGGGCAGGTGGGCCCCGGCGCAGCCAATGGAGAGCGGGATCTTCCGAGGGACTCGGTGCCCCTCACCCAATGAGAACAAGCGGGCTGTGCGGAGCTAGTTCCGAGCGGCAGTGCGTAAGGCCAACCGAGCGCAAAGTGGGGCGGGACGCCGCACTGAACGACGCAGCTGTTGTCCAATAGGGAGTGTGGAAGCAGGCAGCCCGGACCTGGGGCGCGGAGGGAGCCGAGGGAGGGGGACGCAGAACGGGAGAGAAGCAGGAAGTAGCGGCGGCCGCGGGGAGGGCGGCGGCGGCGGTGGCGGCGGCTGGAGCTGGGCAGAGACCGCGGAGTCTCGCCCGCACTAGGAGCGGAGCAAGTAAGCTGGCCGGCGGCAGATACCGCCCTCGGCCCCGCCCCCTGGGGGGCGGGTAAATGCCCCCGCCCCTCCCCCACCTAGTCAACTACCCCCTTCTCCGCGCCGCCCCCCTGGGGCGCCTCGTTGGAAGGCCCGACGCTGCCTCCATCCCTTGGGGCGGATGGGCGAAACTCCCAGCCTGTTGAAAGCACAGCCCCCAGCCGGGTAAACATGGAGGGGAGGTTGGGCACCCAAGTCCTGGCGCCCCCAGCTTTAGGGGCGACCGAAGCACGGCCCGGGGTCTGGTGGCTGCGGGATGTCGCGACCTAAAATGGTGTCCGTGTCTGCGGGTGGGGGCGGGGAGCTGGGCCAGGCCGGAGCCTGCACCCCGACCGGGCGCAGGTCAGCGCCCGGCCCGAGCAGGACCCGAGCTCGCGCTCCAGGCCGCCGCGCGGCTCCAGATCCCTCCCCACTCCTGGGGAGCCCCCAGGAGTCGGGACGGTGCGGAGGCTGCGCTGCGCACGGTGCAGAGGTCTGAGTTGGGATAGACCGGCTGGACTGGAGACCTGCGAGTCCAGCAGACTCGCCCTCCCGACTCCCATCTCTCCTCTCGAGTCCTCTTGGGCCCCGAGGTGCCGCGTCGCAGCTCGCAAAGCGCCTGGTGTGTCCGAGGCCGGTCCTTCCCTTCGCTCATTAGTAGGAGCCAGAGAAACGCTGCGTGCCTCAGTTTCCCCTTTAGCTTCCCTTGCGCACACCCCGCCCCCACCCCACTACCCAGACGCGCTCCCTGCGCCAGCCCTCTGGCAGATGGCAGGGACTTAATTCTGCCCGCTGCCCAGCTTGGCCGCAGCCTAATCGGCCGCCGGCCCCTCGCCCTCGCGTTAGCGCGTGCACCGCACAGGCCCGCATTGAAGCTCCCACTCAACCCGAGCCAGTTCACCCTCTTCCTGTCCAGCCCCTTCTTTTGGTTTTTGGGAAGGAACCTCGGGAAAGGTGGGTGGGCAGAAGCCCAAGAGAGAGGAGGACGCTGCAGCCGCAGAAAGGCCGGGCCTGTGCCTGTGCCTGGGCCTCGCGGTGGGGGAGCCTCCTCGGCCCCGAGTTGGGTTGCCTAGTCGTCTGTCCGCTGTGGGTTGCATCTGATGACCTCTAAGTTGTTTGGACGCTAAAGGGGGAGGTGATTCTGCAGACAAGTTCCCAACTGCCTCCCTGGCCTGCGCCCCACCAGACCATTTTTATGAAGGCCTGAGTGGACAGACGGCCTACAGGCCTCTCTGGGTCTGGAAAGGAGCAAGCCAGAGCGGGAGGGGTGGGTGGGGTGAGGTGGGATGGTGGAGGGCCAGCGGCTTTCAGGGCAGAGGTAAGGGGTGAGGGGCTTTGTTTAAACACAAGGTCTGCAGAATTGGGGGTGGGGGTGGAGTAAGGATTCCTCTTTCTGCCTCTAGTTGGTACCCCCTCCTCCCACCCTCACCTTGGTCCTGGCAATGCCAGCTGCCACCTGCTGGGTCTCTCTCCAGTTACAGTCTGCAGGCTGGGAGGAGGTGAGAGAACTGGCTCTGGGCAGTGGCTCTCCTCTTGGGCAGGAAACGTGTGATAGAGGTTTCTTCAGTTACTTCTTCTGGCTGTATAGAAACACTGGTGGGAAGAAACTGGCTGCCAACACACCTGAGTCCCCACCGGCTCAAGCTGGCCTCCTATTTGGTTTGCTGCCACAGAAGTCTTGGGGGAATTTTTTTTTTTCCCCTTCGCCGAACCAGGTGGGGTTGGGTGACTGCTGGGGTGACTGTTGCAAAGGAAAAGAACAGGTGCCTGGGTTAGGAACTGAGTGGAAATTGCAGCCGCCCAGTGCTGCATAAGCCTGCACCCTGGAGTTTTAATCCTGAGAGAGTAGGGTGGGGAGGGAGGGAGGAGGCCCAGGGTACTCTGGGGGAAGGTAGGTGATGGAGCAGCAGGTGTTTGTGACTGCAGAGGCAGAGGCGAGGGCCCTGGTGACCAGGCTGCTGTCACCACTTTCCCTCCTCTCTCCTTTGTCTCTTTCTGCTCTTCTTCCCAGTTGGGGTTTAGTTTGTGTCTCCCTGTTGACCAATCTAGATCTCCAGGTGTTGGTGAGGACCTCTAGGGGGGGGGCCTGAGGTCTGTCCTGGGGTGACTCCTGGCTCTTGTCTCTGACCCTAGCCCTAGGTCTCCAGGTCTTAGCTTCTCTCTGAAGGATCCCTGGTGGCACAGTGTTTAAAGCACTCAGGCACGCCCGGGGTAAGATGTGGCAGTCTGCTTCCGGAAAGATTTACAGCCTTGGAAGCCGGTGGGGGCAGTTCTGCTTTGTCTTGTCGTGTCGCTATGAGTGTGAGTCCACTCAGTGGCAGTGGGTTGGGCTTGGTTGGGTCTGGATTCCTTCTCCGCTCCTCCTTGACCTGACATGTTCCTGCATGACCCAGCTGTAATAATACATCTTTTTTTCCTGGGTCTTGACTCTCAACATGTACGCTATCAGCTCACGCTCAGCCTAACTCTGTGGTGTGCGGACGGCTTGCCCCTTCTTTGAGACAGCAGAAGGAAGGGGAGTGCGCACGCACACCGCCAGTGAGGAAGGAAACCTCCTTAGGTCTCGGCCGAGGTCGCTGCCCCTCTGCCCGTGGGCTTCTCAGAGCTCCGTGGACCCCAAAAGGTCCACAGAAAAATCATAGTTGGTCCCATCCTACCGTGAATGAACCCATCTTGTCCGTCCTTCGTGTTGACTCAGGGATGAATCCGTGCGGGTCACCTGGCAGGCTGCTCACTTAATGTGCTCCGCCCTCGGTGCACCCCCCCGGCTGTTTCTGAGAAGTCCCTTTTCTGCTTCTCTGAGTTCTGCTGACTGCCCTATCTGTGCACACCGCCTCCTTTCTCGCTTCAGATCCCCCCCCTCACCCCCACCCCCCAGCTTTCTATGATTTGCTCTGTGGCAGAGCTGTGCCCTTGGGTTCTGGGGAGGGGTGCCCCTATGCCTGCCTCTGGGGTCTCAGTGTCTCCCTTTTTCCATCAGGTCTGGGACCTGCCACAATGGGGGACATGAAGACCCCCGATTTCGACGACCTCCTTGCTGCCTTTGACATTCCTGACATCGATGCCAACGAAGCCATTCATTCTGGGCCAGAAGAGAACGAGGGACCAGGAGGCCCAGGGAAGCCAGAACACAGTGTGGGGGCTGCACCTGCAGAAGCTTCAGCAGTAGCTGCCGGGGATGGCCCAGGGGCTCCCGCCCAGATTTCGGACCATACCCTGCCGCCGCCGGACATCTCGGCTGTCAGCGTCATTGTCAAGAACACTGTGTGTCCCGAGCAGCCTGAGAACCTGGCTGGGGCTTCAGGAGGGGAAGGGGCCCGGCCTGGGGGGGTGACGAAAGAAGGGCCTGTGGGTCCCCGCCTGATGCAAAATGGCTTTGGGAGCCCTGAGCCATCCCTCCCGGGGATGCCCCGCTCTCCAGCTCCTCCCAGCGGGGGTTCCTGGAAAGAAAAGGCCATGGAAGGCAAAGCCCCCTTGGACCTCTTTGCTCATTTTGGGCCTGAGCCAGGGGATCACCCCGACCCACTACCTCCCTCAGCGCCCTCCCCACCTCGAGAGGGGGCCATGACCCCACCTCCTTTCCCTTCTCCCTTTGAGCTGGCCCAGGAGAATGGCCCCACTCTGCTGCCACCGGGGTCTCCCCCACTGCTGGGGACCCTGAAACAGGAGAGCTGTAGCCCCCTTCACTCCCAGGGCGTCCCTTGCCGAGGCTCAGGCTCCGGCCCCGAGGCCCCAAGCGTGCCTGCCAGCGCCTTGCCACCCCGCGTGGCTGGGGTGCCCTTCTTCAAGCAGTCTCCTGGACACCAGAGCCCGCTTGCCTCCCCCGAAGTGCCCATCTGCCCACGTATAAAGGAAGAGGAGGAGGAGGACGAGGGACCCGTGGACAAGACTCCCCCAGGAACCCCCCAGAGCCCCTCTAGCGGCGCTGAGGCTGCAGATGAGGACAGCAATGACTCACCTGCCTCATCCAGCTCCTCTCGGCCCCTCAAGGTGCGCATCAAGACCATTAAAACATCTTGTGGGAACATCACGAGGACTGTGACCCGAGTCCCCTCAGATCCCGCCCCTCCTGCCCCTTCAGTGGAGGGAGCCTTCCTGCCCGAGGCTAGCCTCCTAAAACTGTCCCCTACGCCCCCAAACCCCGAAGGCCCCAAGGTGGTGAGTGTCCAGCTGGGTGATGGCACGAGGCTAAAGGGCACCGTGCTGCCCGTGGCCACCATCCAGAATGCCAGCACCGCCATGCTGATGGCAGCCAGCGTGGCCCGCAAAGCCGTGGTTCTGCCCGGGGGTACCGCTGCTAGTCCCAAGAGCATGGCTAAGAACGTGCTAGGCCTGGTGCCCCAAGCCCTGCCCAAGGCTGATGGGCGAGCTGTGCTGGGGCCGGCAGGCCAGAAGGTGAATGGGGCCTCTGTGGTGATGGTGCAGCCTTCAAAGCCTGCCGGGGGGCCGGGGGCTGGGGGCGGCACTGTCATCTCCCGGACTCAGTCCAGCCTGGTGGAGGCCTTCAACAAGATCCTCAACAGCAAGAACCTGCTGCCGGCCTACCGTCCCAATCTGAGCCCCCCGGCTGAGGCGGGCCTGGCCCTGCCGCCCACCGGCTACCGCTGCCTGGAGTGTGGGGACGCTTTCTCCCTGGAGAAGAGCCTGGCCCGCCACTACGATCGCCGGAGCATGCGCATCGAGGTCACCTGCAACCACTGTGCCCGCCGCCTGGTCTTCTTCAACAAGTGCAGCCTGCTGCTGCACGCACGTGAGCACAAGGATAAGGGGCTCGTTATGCAGTGCTCGCACTTGGTCATGCGGCCCGTGGCCCTGGACCAGATGGTGGGGCAGCCGGACATCACGCCCCTGCTGCCGGTGGCTGTCCCACCTCTTCCCGGACCTCCCGCCCTGCCTGCCCTGGGCAAAGGGGAAGGCGCTGTCACCTCCTCCACCATCGCGACAGTGGCTGCTGAGGCCCCTGTGCTGCCGCTGAGCACGGAGCCGCCCGCCGCTCCCGCCCCCTCTGCGTACACGTGCTTCCGCTGCCTGGAGTGCAAGGAGCAGTGCCGGGACAAGGCAGGCATGGCGGCCCACTTCCAGCAGCTTGGGCCCCCCACGGCCACCAACAATGTGAGTTCCCTTTCCCGGTAGTGGTGGTGGTGGTGGTGGTGTGGGTGTGTGTGGCAGGAGGGACAGGCTACTCACTCCTCAGCGCCTTAATGTTTCAACCCCCCCTCCCCCGGTGTGCACACGACCTGCCCCATGATGCTCCCCAACCGCTGCAGCTTCAGTGCCCATCAGCGCATGCATAAGAATCGGCCTCCCCATGTCTGTCCCGAGTGTGGCGCCAACTTCCTGCAGGCCAATTTCCAGACCCATCTCCGAGAGGCCTGCCTGCACTTCTCTCGCCGAGTAGGATACAGGTGCCTGGCCACCTTGGCCTGGGTGTCGTTCGGTTTCCCCAGGAGAAGCCCGTGGCTCTGCTGTCTGTCGCCTTCTGCCTGACTCCTGTCCTGTGGACCCCCTCTCCTGTCGGGGAGCTGGGCGTGGGCAACCCCCTCTCCCCATGCATGCCCCGTGGTGTGCCCACAGCCTGAGCACTACAGGGGGTGCGGTGTGAGATGCCCTGTCTCGCTTCAGCACCTCCTACTTGCTCCCCACCAAGGTGCCCCAGCTGTTCGGTGGTTTTCGGGGGTGTGAACTCCATCAAGTCCCACATCCAGACGTCGCACTGCGAGGTTTTCCACAAGTGCCCCATCTGCCCCATGGCCTTCAAGTCTGCACCCAGTGCCCATGCCCACCTCTACACCCAGCACCCTAGCTTCCACACGCAGCAGGCCAAGTGAGACCTGGAGCGGGGGATGGTGTGGGGGGGAGGGGGAAGGGGAGGCTGAGGGAGGTGGGGGGTGGGGGGCCCTCTCCTGCCCTGCCTGACAGCTGTGCTGGCTGTACACTAGGCTCATCTACAAGTGCGCCATGTGTGATACCGTCTTCACGCACAAGCCCCTCCTCTCCTCACACTTCGACCAGCACTTGCTGCCCCAGCGGGTCAGCGTCTTTAAGTGCCCATCCTGCCCCCTGCTCTTTGCCCAGAAAAGGACCATGCTGGAGCATCTCAAGGTAAGGTGATGTGTGTGTCCGGTGTGGAGGTGGGCAGAGCTCACGGATGGATGTTGACCCAGGGCTGGCAGCAGGGAACGGCCCCGGCGGGCAGGCCCTGCCCACAACAGACGACTCCCTTGCCCCCGACACAGAACACCCATCAGTCTGGACGCGTGGGTGAGGAGACTGCTGGGAAAGGCGCCGGGGGTGCCCTTCTGACTCCTAAGACTGAGCCTGAGGAGCTGGCTGTGTCCCGGGGAGAGGCAGCCCCTGCCACGGAGGAGTCGTCGTCATCAGAAGAAGAAGAGGAAGTGCCCAGCTCACCGGAGCCTCCTCGCCAAGCCAAGCGGCCACGGCGGGAACTAGGGAACAAAGGCATGAAGGGCGGGGGCGGGGGGCCCGGAGGCTGGACCTGTGGCCTTTGTCACTCCTGGTTCCCCGAACGGGACGAGTACGTGGCTCACATGAAGAAGGAGCACGGCAAGGTGGGGGCAGCCCCTCCCCCAGGGCAGCAGGGCTGGGTGGGGGGTGGGGGACCTCGGGGGCAGCTGGGACATCTCTAGCCCTGCCCTCAACAGTCGGTGAAAAAGTTCCCGTGTCGCCTGTGTGAGCGTTCCTTCTGCTCCGCCCCCAGCCTGCGGCGCCACGTCAGGGTCAATCACGAGGGTATCAAGCGGGTGTACCCATGCAGGTAACCCTTGCCCTCTCACCCTTTCCTCCTGCCCCGCACTCCCCCACCTACGACTGAGTGGACAGCTTCCCCACGGCTGTGCCTGTGTGCCGCCCCGTGCCCCACCCTCAGGTATTGCACAGAAGGGAAACGCACCTTTAGCAGCCGCCTCATCCTGGAGAAGCACGTCCAGGTCCGGCATGGCTTGCAGCTGGGGGCCCAGTCCCCTGGCCGGGGGGGCGCCCTGGTTCGGGGCCCTGGGGCCAGAGCCCAGGTAGGTCTGCTGTTGGGGTCACAGGGCGGGAAGCTGCAGAGTAGATAGACCCTGACGCCCAAGGGCAGTCGGGGTGACAGGCACTTTCTTCCAGGGGGCAGGACGGAAACGGCGGCAGTCGTCGGATTCTTGCAGTGAGGAGCCCGACAGCACAACGCCGCCAGCCAAATCTCCCCGAGGCGGCCCCGGCTCGGGGGGCCATGGCCCCCTGCGCTATCGGAGCAGCGCCCCAGCGGAGCAGAGCCTTGTGGGCTTTCGGGTGGACGGTGGCACCCAGCAGTGCCTCGACTGCGGCCTGTGCTTCGCCTCCCCAGGCTCCCTGAGCAGGCACCGCTTCATCAGCCATAAGAAGCGGCGGGGAGTGGGCAGTGCCGGTGCCCTGGGGCTGGGGGACGGGGAGGAAGAGGTCTCCCACCCCAGGTCCGACGCGGAGGGCGGAGATTCACCTTTGCCCACCTCAGGAGGCCCACTGACCTGTAAAGTCTGTGGCAAGAGCTGCGACAGCCCTCTCAACCTCAAGACCCATTTCCGCACGCATGGCATGGCCTTCATCAGGGCGCGGCAGGGGGGCAGCGGGGACAACTAGAGCCCAGGCTGGGACTGGCCAGGGCTGACCCTCTCACCCCGGAACCTGGGTTCCACTGCCGCCTGATCCCCGGGCTGGGTAGCTGCATTAAGATTCACATTCTGTTTGGCTCCTCCCTTCCTGCACCGCCCCCCCCCCCCAAAAAAAAAGGCTTTGGAGGATTATAATTTGCAGCTCCTGTCCCCTTTGGGTTTGGCACTTGGGTCATAGTAGAGGGCACCTCCATTCCTCTTCGAGTCCAACACTAATCACCCCTCTGCTGCAGGCCCCTGTGGGACCATGGGACGAAGGGCCCCGGAGGGGCCAGTGCTGGGGCGAGCCGGGACACACTCCCACCTCAGGCCCAGGCTCCAGCGACTTCTGGGCTGGCCTCGCTCCATCCCGACCCCCCAGCACTCGAGGTCCCCCCCTCCCCTGCAGTGCCTTTCACAAATCTTTATTCCCCAGAAATCCATGGGGGGGTTGGTGGGGAGGAGTCCTGTCAAGGGGGGCCCAGGCTCTCAGGAATCCTTTATTCTTGTAGTAATAATACTAACAGTGGGAGAAACAGGCGGGAGAAAACCAGACCATTAAAACTACTCGTGGTTTAATCCCCATTCAGGCTCCGCTTCTTCTGTGCCGTGGACAGTGTGGACTTGAGAGGGAGTCCAAACAGGGGAAAGCCCTCGTGAGGGGGTCCTGGCCAGGCAGGCAGGGGAAAACCACCGTCCCCCACCCCTTCCCTTGGAGTCCTTTGCTTCCTGGTCCATTCCTGTGCCCTTCTCCAACAAGAACTCAGATATCACAAAGATGGCTAACTAAGGACTTTATTTGAAACAAAAATTAAAAATAAAAAAAAATTGAGAGCTGTTTCCCTGGGTGTTGGGGAAGGGATCAGACCAGGGAATTCCCCCTGGCTAGGCCAAGACCCTTGCATCAGAGGGGTTGTGGTCATTCCCTTCCTTACCCCAGGGATGGGGACCGTCAGCAAGGGCAAGGGGTCAGTCCCCGGGAGGGGTAGAGTCGGGCAGCAGCATGGCCAAAGGCCAACCACAGGATCAAGTCCTAAGTACCAAGCATCTGCTCTCCTTGCTGCTGGGAGGGACCCGGAGCAGAGGAAGAGGATGGCCCGTGGACAGAACCTCTTAGACTCTGACGAGGAGTAGGCCTCCCGAGCCCGTCACCTCCGCCACCTCTGTTTTCTGGAGGACAGCAAGTCCTGGTGTCTGTCAGGTGGTAATACTGACACAGCTGGGGAGCCCCAGCATGTCTGGCCTCCACGGCTAGCTCTCCCACCCCTGGCAAGCTCTCGTGGTTACCACATGATCCTTTGTATCTCTTGCCTTCCATGTCCCTTGGTTGGATAGTTGGGTGGGTGGGGTTTCCTGGTTTGGGGTTTATCAGCCAAGGGCCTCCCTAGGGGAGTGTCCCCTGGATCTCCCCCCACCATTCGTGGGCCGGGAAGGAGGGTGTCACATGATGCCGTTGGTGAGGTACTGGAAGCCGTCATAGAGCTTGGTGGTGATGGAGCGCATGCTGCCGTCCACCATCTGCTCCACCAGCAGCTGGAGCTGCTCCTCGGTCATGCTCATGTGGAACCGCTCTTTGAGGTTGCGGATGGTGCTGGAGCCATGGAAGCAGGGAAGCTGAGAACCTGGGAGCAGCAGTGGGTGGGGGGGAGACCCCATGAGTAGGTGGACTGGCAAGTAAGGCCAGAGGTATCTGAAGCACCCCTCCCCTCCCCACTTCAGAGAGCCCCGAGTGGATGCAGTTTGGGTAGAGAATTGGTGGGAGACCCTGTCTTGTGCCCAGCTTCATCCCACACTCCTCAGCCCTCATGTAAGTGAAGCATTCCCAGAGAGGTGGCGGGGACAGGGCCGATCCCACACTTCCCCAGTGAGGGCTCCGGGAATGCCGGGAAGAAGTTCTGGGCAACGGGCCCTGAGCGGGCACTTATCTGGTTGCAGGCCTCTGCCTACGCTACGTCTGACACTCACAGATGACCTGAGCCACCGTCCTCACGGGGCCAGACGGGGATGCTCCTGAGCAACGGCGACAACCTGTGGGGGGTGAGGGGGTAGGGGGTGCGGGAGGGAAGGAGACTGACAGCTCAGACCGTGCGAATCTTGAGTCTTAAAGGGCAGGGGGCGAGGGTTTAAGGCCAGAGGAGCTGGGAAAGGAGTGGAAACTGGACTGGACAAGAGACTAGGTAGCAGGACAGGGAGGAGACAGCCCAGAGAAAAGCAAAGAAAGGGACAAAGGAAGTAATCTGTTCCTCGGAGGGACAGAGGGGAGGACAATCGGCCACAGTGCAGTGGGAGGGAAGTGGTGACATGTCCTTGGTCACAGAGAGAAGGGGGATGAGAGCTGGGAGGAGACAGAAGGGAAGTGCTCCCCCTTGAGTACAGCCCAGGGTTAGTTTCTGCTGCCACCGGGACCAAGCTCTGCCCGGAGTCAGGACTGTCCTGAAGGAGAAACAAGCCCGCCTGGGACCCGAGATGGAACCCACTGGGACCTCCCTCCCTCTCGAGCCTTGGGATGGAGCTCTCTCCGAGGCCCACCTTGCTGCATGATCTCCACAATCTGCACGACTTTGTCCATGTGTTTCCGGGCAGCAATCAGTCCCTGCAGCATCAGCATCTTGTAGTAGTTGAACATGTCCCCATCCAAGCCACCCATCACCTGGGGAGGGAGGAAAGCTGCATGCACAAGGCACTTAGAGTTGGACCATCCTTGTCCCAACAGGCCTAATGCTCAGCCCTGGGAGGCCCTTTTTTGTGGGGCAAACACGCCAAGTCCCTTATTTCTCACTCCCTTGGCAGGCAGGAAGTCTCCCAGGACCTCCAACCTCACCCCAGCTTCCTGCTGTTTCTGTTCTTCCCTAATTGGGGCGTGCCCTTGATGCCCCCCCTGCCATGGCAGAGAGAACACAGCGGCCCTAGAAGCAGCTCTCCCTCCTGACTCACATCCACAAACTCTGTGGTCAGCTTAAAGGCTGAGGTTTCAAAGCCCAGGTTTCGGGGTGAGCTGGACAGGATGAAGCCAAAGTCGATGTGGATGATGTGGCCTTCTGCGTCCAAAAGGATGTTCCCATTGTGTCTGAGGGGACAGGGAAGGAAGAGACAGTGCTACGTCTGACTGGAGGCCAATCTCAAGCTGCCACACAGCAGCAGACAGGAGAGCCCCTCCCTGGGTTTTCTGCTTGCCACTGTGTCCCCTTGACCCAGGACCTGAACCAAAGTCACGACTAAGGCTGTGGGCTCTGAAATGGCTACCATTAATAATTTAAGAAAACAGCTTTTGAGTACTCCAATCTTCCTAAAATCATACTGCTAGTACCCAAACTGATCCCAACCTAGCAGAAAACCCAGAACCGTGGTGGTGGGAAGGGCAGAGGCCGAGCACTTTGCTGGGCAGAAGGCCTCCATTCAGACCTATTTACCTGCGTTTCATAATTCCCATCAGCCCACTAGGGGAGCCCTGGTGGCGTAGTAGTAACTCACTGGGCTGCGATCCGCAAGGTCAGCAGTTCAAAACAATCAGCCACTCCTCAGGAGCAACATGGGGCTTTCTACTCTCATAAAGAGTTAGTCTCAGAAACCCATAGGGGTAGTTCTACCCTGTCTTACAGGGTAGCTATGAGTCAGCATCTGCCCCACGGAGTGCGAATGGAATGGCCTGGGTGGCAGTGGGCATGGCTCCATCAGTCCTCTGCACACCAGAAACCCCATTAGAGAGAGCCACAAGCAGAGCGGGGTCTCAACATCACACATGGTGGAAGGCTCGAGGGCTGAGTGTACGCGCTCTGGGGGCAAGGCTAGTGCAGGCCAGCTGTGGAGGAAGAGCAGTTAGGGAATCCCGTGGCTGAGAGCCCCGCGTGAATGGTCTGTGGAAGGAAGAACAATTAACATGCTAGGCACGTGAGGCCCGTCCATTCAGCATAACCAACCTCAGTGTCAACAGGGGCTTTGTTACACCAAGAACGGACGGCGCAGGGCCACCTTCCTGGGAGCTGGTCTGACCTGAGGAGGAGGACAGGGAGAATGGAGTCCCACCCGAGTCCTTCCCCGGTGAGAAAGCAGTAAAGACTTAGCAATGATGGCGCACGCTTGCCAGCCAGAACAGCTCGGGGTGGCCCAGTCACAGACGAGGAGACTGAGGCCCTCCGTGCCTAACTCCAGGGTTGGTGAGGTGCAGTTTCTCTCTTGCATGGCGGAGCTGGCTCCCGCTGGAAAGCTGGTGGGGCTCATTTTAAAGTATGACAGGGAGCTAAGATCTGCTTCCCGTTTGGGGCCCCACCCACTTCTGCCGCTTCTCATCAGCACTGAATTACATCTGATCTCCTTTGAGCAATTTTCCCTTCACCACTACCACCCCTCCCCTTTGAAAGGCGTTTTCCCGGGTTTGAACCTTCCTAAAGAAATGCCCCGAGAGCTCGCCTCCCACTCATTCACTCAGCCCCCAGGCTCAGCTCCAGGCTCTCTGGGTTCAAAATCCCAACTCTTCAGGGACGGTCTGAATCTGGCAACCTGATTCCTTTGGTAGCGTGGCATTTCCCCTCCGTGCGCCACCCGGGGGGTTCCCGTGTGGCGCAGTCGAGGTGGAATGAGCACAGATGCGGGAGAACTCTTCGGCCCCATTTCCCTTATGTGCCGGCGTAGAAGCACCTCACAGGGCTTTCCGTGGTTCACCTGGGAGCTGCTCAGGCATGGAAGGTGTTTGACAGAAGCTGGACTTCTGCTGAGCTGCTCAGATCATGAGCAATTTCCATGGCTAGCATGTCCCCGGGCCCTGCACGCACAGGCCACTGCGGTGTGGCATCCCAAGGACAGCTGCCTGGTGCTAGGTGCCACCCACCAGGGCATCAACAAGGAGCCTCTGGAGCCTCTCTGAGGGCACCCTTAGGAGGCCGGGCCTTAGTGGGATAACTTTGGGTACAATGTTGTTCACCCAGTGTCTCATTACCCAACAAGCAAGGTAAGCACGGGCTAACTTGTACCTACTTCTTCAGCTGTTGTGAACGACTACACTTTTTTTTAACCATAGCATTCTGCTGTCATCTGTCCCTCCCAACCCAGAGCACCTTCCTACAGAATCAAAACTGCTTGTCACATATTTAATCCCTGACGGGCGGAACACGGAACACTCAGTAAGCAAAGAAAGCAACAGCTTACTTGTGCGGGCTTACTAATCCTGTAGTGAACAGTTTCACACTCCACTACAGCTTAGTAAGCAAGCACAAGTAAGTTTGAGCCTTTCTCGCTTATTGGGTAAGCCGCCACCCACGTGTGTACTTAGGACCCTTACAGGTCAGGTGAAAGAGCTCACAGCCCTGGGCGGACACGTAGCGTTTTGGAAAGAGTACACTGGGGTGAGAAGAACGCAGGGCTCAGGGTTCCA